CTCTCTCTCTCTCTCTCTATCTATCTATCTATCTATCTATCTATCTATCTATCTATCTATCTATCTATCTATCTATCTATCTATCTATCTATCTATCTATCTATCTATCGATTTATCTCATGTTCTCTATTATCCACAGTTTTCAACATCCATGGGAGGACTTGGAATCAATCCCCAGTGGATATGGGGGTCCTACTGTATTTCAATAACATCACTATTCCTTTTGCAGAACCACATATATGCTTGAGTGAAGTTAAATATATATGTTTTCATATAGGAACTGCCACAGTAGTAGTCACATTAAATAATATATTTTTAAATTGGGGAAAAAAGTTCCTGAAAAATCACAGTTGTAAAATGTCAGTGTTGTAAACTACTGGACCTGTACAATGCTGAGGATATGAGGAAGACAGAAGGCAAAAGATACAGAGCACCTTATTCATATCACCAACCCCTTCAGAATCTCATCTGGTTTGGTGATAATTCAGTGTAGGACTATCTAGTTGAATATATGTACTTTACAATAAGGCAGGGGGACCATCGTAATAGGTAAATCATCCTAAGGGCAAGGGACAAAAATGACATAAAGAGCACCTTATTCATATGAGCCTTTACAGAGTCTGGTCTGGTTCTGACTTAGGTGGTATCTAGGCTATACTAGTTCAGCCTGTCATTGAGGTGGAGTGCTGAATCGCATGATTGAATCCTCTGTACAAACTATTCCCTCCACACGCCAGATGACAGAGAGAAGGGTTCTTACTTTTTTTTTAACCTGGGTCCACTTCAAGAAATTATTCCCATTCAGTTACCACCTACGGTAAGTGGGAAAACTAGAACAGTTTCTGAGAATGATGATTAATATGTATATAAAGTGCTGTTTATCCCAGGTTTTTCTCAGCCCCCTGTCTTCAGCATTGTACAGATCTAGATTGAGAATGCCTCATTCTGCTTGTGCATACTTCAGGCTTATGGGTTACAGTTTACATTCTCCATCCTGAGGATTAAATATTTTTTGGTTTGTCTGTTTCTTTTTGTCCACAGAATTAGTGTTTTGTTAACTGAAAGATTTCAGAAATGGAAACTGAAAAGTCCCATGGGCGATCCTCCATAGTGAACCTGCTGATACTTCTGATATATTTTGTAAGTAAATAAACAATTTTGTTGTGCATTATGAACAAGTTGCAGAAATATCATTTTCTTGCACTTTGACTAACTACAGTTTTACATTATTGGCTCAGTTCCAGCAGAAGAATTGCTCCTTGCTTAAATATGAAGTTCCTGTGGTATGACTTAGTGTTCTCAGAGATCATAGTTATTTATAAATCTGTGACAATTAAAGAATAACTGTGTAGAGCTCATTAGATTCTTTGTTGATGAAGATGAGCTGATGAAAGTACTGTGGACTAGCCCAAAGAAACATTTAATAAGTGGAATCCTGTTGTGCAACTTCTCTCACCAACGGCTAAAGACTTTTATATTTAATTTGACGTTTTAAACCTTTTTAATAGTTCCTGATTTGGACTGCTGGTAGCAATTTTCCAATATTAGAGTTCCCCAGCCAGAATCGTAGTCAGAGAGTGCTTTTCAATGGATCCCTCTCAAACTGGAAGTAGGTAACCAGTGAAGGGGCTCAGTCTTGTGCCTACTCCTCTTCAACATTTTATTAATGACTTTGATAAGTAGGTACAAGAAATACTTATCAAATCTGCAGGTGAGACAAAATTGGGTGGAATAGCTAATGCAGTGGGAGACAGAAACAAAATTCAAGAAGACCTTGATAGGCTCAAGCACCAGGATGAAATCAGCAGTTCTACACCTAGGAATAAGAAACCAAACACACAGTTACAAGATGGGGATGTTTGGCAATACTACATGTGAGAAGTACCGTATCTTGGAATGGTTGTAGACTGCAAGCTGGATATGAGTCAATAGCATGGTGCGGCTATGAAAGAGAGAAAATGCTATTTTAGGCTACACTCACTGAAGAATATTCTCCAAATCACATAAAATACCAATTTCCCTGTTTGGCATTGGTTAGGCCTCATCTCAAACAAACTAGAACAAGTTTAGAGGAAGGCAAGAAGGATGATCAGGGAATTGGAAACCAAGCCATGTGAGGAAAGACGGAAAGACCTGGATATATTTAGACTTGAGAAGGGAAGAGTGAGAGGAGACACTGACAGCACTTTTTAAAGACATGAAATATTTGCTTACAAAAGAGGGGCAGGATCTGATCTGTTCTCAGTCATTTCAGAATGCAGGACATGTAATAATGAGTTCCGGTTACAGGAAGCCAGATTTTGGTTGAACATGGAAAAAACATCCTGACTATTAGAGCAGTACGACAATGGAGCCAGTTGCCTTGGGTGTGTGTGTGAGAGAGAGCTCTCCAATATTGGAGGCATTCAAGAGAAAGTTTACTGTCGGATATGCTTTAACTAGTATCCCTGCATTTGGTCTTGATGGCCTGACAGGCCTTTTCCAGCTCCATTAATCTGTGATTCTGTGATACTGTTAGAGTTGTTACTGTAATCTCTAGAGCACAAAATTACTGTCTTCTGAAATTCTTTGCTGTGTTCTTGTAGCCAGCATTATACAGTATTTGCAATATCATCTGTAGTGCCTTTTCCTTTTCTAAATCTAGCATGAACATTTGCCATTTCTTATGCTATATATGGGTAAAGTTTTTGTTGTAAAATCTTGAGCATTATTATGCTTCCATAGTAAACAAATGCTGTGGTTCTATACTTACTGCAGTCTTTGGTATTTCCTGTCTTTGGGATTAGAGTGTCCGTTAAATGTTTCTAGTTTGTGGACCATTGTTTTGTTTTCCGTGGCCAAAGTTGCATTGCATAATTAGACCAAGTGGGGGCTCATTAATTAGTGGTAACTTACCACTATGAATTAGGCTGTTCCTTTCTACTGGCATAACTATGGAACACGTTTTTAGCCTATATTTGTTAATATTCAGTTCATTTTTTAAATAGGCTTTCTGTTTTATGAGTGTAACATATTGTGCTTCTTTATCCATGATTCAAAACAGGCTTTCTGTTTTATGAGTGTAACATACGTATTGTGCTTCTTTATCCATGATTCAAAATACAGTGGTGCCGCGCTAGACGATGATAATCCATTCCACTGAAATCGCTGTTTAGCGAAATCATTGGCTAGCGAAAAGCATTTCCCCACTGGAATGCATCGAAACCTGTTTAATGCGTTCCAATGGGGAAGAGTCATCATTGTCTAGCGAAGATTGGCCATAGGAAAGCCGCTTTGCAAACTGCCAATCAGCTGTTTAAATCGCTGTCTTGCGAAGCTTAGGTCCCGAAAACTCCTGTTTGCGAGCAGGGAGGGAGCTGTCAAAATCGTCGTCTAGCGAAAATCGGTTTGCGAAGCAGGGACCAAACATTGTCCAGCGAAATTCCCCCATAGGAATCACGGTTTTGCGAATTGCTACAGCGATCGCAAAAAGCCAATGTCTAGCGAAAAAACTGTCATGCAGGGTAACTGTCTAGCAAGGCACCACTGTGCCAGGAAATGGATCAATATTGCTCCACAATATCATGCTCACACTGCTAGCAGGAAAAAGGAAGCCAAGCTTTACACAGCAAAGGGCAGCCTCAATGGCAGCAGTCAAGGTGGTATATAGGATACACACTTGTGCTGACTACCATTCTCAAGGAAACACCAAGTAAGGAAAAATCCGAGAAGCTGACTCCCTTTTTTCATCAGTTAACCTTTACACTCATGATTTCCTGTTTGGCCAGGAAGGAGTAAAACATTCGATTGGGTCCTGATTGAGAGGTTCAAAAATTCAGAGTGCACCAGACCTAGGGCTGATTTCTTTTTTGAAAGCACATCTCAGGAGACTGGCCCCAGAAATATGGAGATAATGTTTAGTGAAAGGACTCATGGCTGGAACAAACATAACTAACTGCTCTGTGCTTTTGTACTGCAGAAATATTTTGAATATGCCTTATAAAATTGTATGCTAATTCTTTGGAGATACATGGCAAAATGTATCTCCTTTCTGGAGGACTATCACTCCATCGCTTTCTTTAAAGCAAGCCCGGGTTTTTTGACGCTTCAAAGAAAACTTGTCTTTTGACTCTTTCAGTGACCTTTATATTTTGTTGTTGTTTAGTCATTAAGTCATGTCTGACTCTTTGAGACCCCCATGGACCAGAGCACGCCAGGCCCTCCTGTCTTCCACTGCCTCCTGGAGTTTGGTCAAATTCATGTTGGCACCTTCGATCACACTGTTCAACCATCTTGTCCTCTGTTATCCCTTTCTCCTCTTGCCTTCATGCTTTCCCAACATCAGGGTCTTTTCCAGGGAGTCTTTTCTTCTCATGAGATGACCAAAGTATTGCAGCCTAGGCTTCAGGATCTGTCCTTCCAGTGAGCACTCAGGGTTGATTTGGAATAGACAAGTTTGTTCTCTTTGCAGTCCAGGGGACTCTCAAGAGTCTCCTCCACCACCACAATTCAAAAGCATCAATTCTTCGGCGGTCAGCCTTCTTTATGGTCCAATTCTCACTTCCGTACATCGCTACTGGAAAAACCATAGCTTTGACTATGCAGACTTTTGTTGGCAAGGTGATGTTTCTGCTTTTTAAGATGATGTCTAGGTTTGTCATTGCTTTCTCCCAAGAAGGAGGTGTCTTTGAATTTCGTGGCTGCTGTCACCATCTGCAGTGATCATGGAGCCCAAGAAAGGAAAATCTGTCACTGCCTCCATATCATCCCCTTCTCTTTGCAGGAGGTGATGGGATCAGTGGTCATAATCTTAGTTTTTTTGATGTTGAGCTTCAGACCATTTTTGCAGCTCTCCTCTTTCACCCTCATTAAGAGGTTCTTTAAGTCTTCCTCACTTTCTGCCACCAGAGTGGTATCATCTGCATCTCTGAGGTTGTTGATATTTCTTCCTGCAATCTTAATTACCATTCGGGATTTGTCCAGTCCTGCCTTTCTCATGATCTATTCTGCATATAAGTTAAATAAGCAGGGAGACAATATACAGCTTTGTCATACTCCTTTCCCACTTTTGAACCAATCAGTTTTTCCATATCCAGTTCTAACTGTTGCTTCCTGTCCCAATAACTCCCTTTCCTGTCCACAAAACTTCCACAATGTATATACTCTGAAAACGTCTTGTTGCAACCCTGTTCCACACATATCCAGTTTAATAAGGATTCTCTGTTTCTCCCTTTTGAAAGGCATTTTTGAAGACCAGTTTTTCAGCACCTCTAACCTGGATTCTTTGCAAATAAAAAAAGGAGATGGAGCCAACCATTCTCTTTCCAGATAAGCAAGATTGGTATTTTCAAGTTATATGAGATATTTTAAATCTGGGGATGTTTAGAGTTGCCCGTTTCTGAACATGGGTTAAAACAGTTTTACATTTAAAATATCATAACTTGAAAACTCTTTGCCCAAACTCCCCCAGATTTGACACAGAGCAAGAGCAGATGGTCTGCTACAACTATGGGGCTTACGGGAAGCCCAGTTTAAAAGTTATAAATTTTGTTTTGTTTTGACTGCACCCATTTTTAGAATTGCCCTATAGTTAGTTAGTTAGTTTTTTGTTTTTTTCTTTGTTTTTCTATACCAAATACTGATTTGCCCTGGCAGAGGAACATTATTGCACTCGCATGCAGCAATAATTTAGGCAGTGTAGTGTGAAATATCTCTACTTGCATCCCAATTATTCCTGGGCATTTATTTTTTTGAATTGGTGTGAGAACAGATTTTACATCACTTTCTAAAACTGAGGGTATTTCATCAAAGGATTCTTCTTCAGGGGAGTCTGTCATTTTTGTACCTTTTTGTGTAATTCTTCAGCATATTATTTCCATTGTTTCTGTATCCTATCTTGATTAGATAATACAGTATAGTGACCTATTGGCCTTCCAACATCCTTAATCTTTGTTTTCATTTCTCATTTATGTTTCTATCTTATTGAATATCTTATTGATTTTTTTTCTTTTACCCCCATCCATTTCTTTGCACTGATTATGGTGCTAGATATTTTTTTTTGTCCTTGTGTGGAAGTCACTGAAAAATTCCAATTAGGATTCTGATCATATTTCTGTCACCTTTTACTTTTGTAAAATTGAGTGTCATTACTATTGTCTGTGAAAGATTGTTCACCAGTATCATCTTCCACTAATGCTGCAGCACAGTAGCTATTCTTCAATAATTTTTCTACCTCTCTTACCACTGAAACTATAAACTATCTTTTGCTGATGTGACTATTAATTCCTGAAGAGGACGGATGCATGTTAGTGTAATTTCTTGGCTTTGACAATTTCACCTTTATGAAACTCTCTTAGAATACAATTTTACAGAGTCTAGCTTCCGGACAATATTGTTGTCAGCTTTCCCAACACAGATGTCAAGGTGTGATCGAAAACAGGGAAATTACATTTACTGTAATAATAAAGGGGCTAAATCCAGTGTTAATCTTGCCAAACAGACCAATGTAATTAAATGGGATTAAGTTAGCTGTGATTAATGAACTCCATTAATTTTAATTAGACTACTCTGTAGATATTCCACCCATAATAATTAAGCTTACATTGAGGAGTAATTGTTTATGAATGTGTTCTAGGTAAAATAAAAATACAGTGGTGCCTCGCTTAACGATGATAATTGGTTCCCAAAAAATCGCTGTTAAGCGATTTCATCGCTAAGCGAAACACGGTTTCCCACAGAAATGCATTGAAAACCAGATAATCCATTCCAAGGGGAACGGATTGCTGTCCTTAAGCGAAAATCGCCATAGGAAACATCACTAAGCGAAACACTGTTCCCCAATTGAAATGCATTAAAACCTATTCAATGCATCTCAGTGGGGGGAAAAATTACAACAAATTTAAAAAGAGTCGAAACAAAGTCAAATTAGTTTAACAAAGGGTTTATTAAGTGCACTTATGATTTCAAGCATTCTAAACATTTTTAAAGATTTCTAAACATTTAAAAAACAGCCATCATGAGGCTGTCAAAACCATCGTTAAGCGAAACAGGGGGACCCAAACTGTCATCGTCATGCAAAGCATGGCCCCAAACATCACTATGCAAAAATCGCCCGTAGGAACCATTGTTAAATGGAGCGCAAGATCGCTCCAAAAAAGTCCTCGCTAAGCGATTTCATCGTTAAATGAAGCAATCGCTAAGCGAGGCACCACTGTATTAGTCATATTCTAAAATACCACAAATACATTTAGCTTTATTTCAGAAAGAGTTTAAGATGTTTAAGATAAATGAAGCACTCAGATATTTCAGCTTGGATGTTGTATAATACCTTAATTTTAGAAGATTTGGGTTGTTGCTGCTGCTGTTGTTATGTGCTGTCAAGTTGCCTCCAATTTATGGCAACCGTATGAATGAGCAGTCTCCAAAGTGTTCTGTACTCAGCAGTTCAGCTCAACTCTTGCAAACTATAGCCTGTGGATTCCTTTAGGAAGTCAATCCATCTTGTATTTGCTCTTCCTTTTTTCCTGCAACCTTCAAAATATTAGTTTTGACAGATTTTGTGTTCATGGCTTCTATTGGTGTTGAATCTACTCCTGGTGATTTATTTCTTCCTACTTATTTCTTTCAAAGCAGCTTTCACTTCATTTTCTAGAAGTACAGGTTCTTTGTCATAGGATTACTCTTCAAAGGAGTCTGTCATCCCTTTTTCTCTTTTGTACAGGTCATCAATACACCCTGTTTCCCTGAAAATAAGACCTAACCTGAAAATAAGCCCTAGTATGATTTTTCAGGATGCT